AGACAGCTGGAGCTGAGGYTTCCCACTTCTTACCCTGTGCTGAAGACTAACCATGAGTGAGGGCAGCACTGGCAGTATCACAGCTCTCTCAAAGCCACCCTCTTTACCACTGACCTAGCCCCTAAATCCTCAGCCATGTGCCCTCAGTGTATCTCACCCAGGTCTCAGCCCAGTGGGAGCAGTCCCTCCCAGCTGAGTTCCCYCCTTTTCTTTCCAGCCAATCTCCCAGTTTTACAGCCTTTTCCAGGCTACACCCACCTCTCTTGCTCCAGTCTCATATTCTGCCTCATTCAGAGATTCYGTAACTCGTGTAAAGGAATTTCAAGCAGTGCAAACTGTGGTGATTTTTTTTTWAAATCTTGGAAATTAGAGATTGGAAAATCTTGCTAGCTCATCCAGTCCATTATTTTACATTCTAGCCTAGCCCAATTCCTGCAAGATTCTTGCCTGCAATGCATTTTCCAGTGCATTATCTGGTCTGCATCTCCTCTCTTCCCATGAGAAACTGTACCACAGAAGACTACTTTTCACWGTTTGGAAGAGGCTTCTGAAATTTTCTTTCCATCCTGCCTGACCTCATTTCTTTAAGTTCTGCCTGTGGTAACATGCTAGATGGGTTCTCCTTCCTTCATGCTTACCTTGTTCAGGTGATGGCAAATAATTCTTGTTCGGTCAAGCTGTTTAGCCACAATGCTTAATAGTTGTAAAGCTCAGCAATTACAGTCCTTGGCTACCTGGGAAAGACCAAAAGTGATATTAGCATGTTAATGGGTGCACAGAACACAGAAGACATTGCTGGTGGTGTTGTCTCTTTATTATAACAGTCACTTGACACATTCCATTACCAGGTCTGGCTTTGGTTGCTTTTGCCTTGGCCAGACTTGAAAAGAACATCTTCCAGCTCATGTCTGCTTCAGTTGTTTTACAGGGTTCTTTTTTGTTTTGTTTTTAATTTCAGTCAAGACCACTTAGCTCTTTCTGAGAACAAGGCTGGCAGGGGAATATTCTGCTTTATCCATATAAATAAAAAAAAACCCCTTTAATGACTTTTTCTTTAAAAAACCCCAACAAACCACATTTTGAGCAATGTCTTGAACTAAAATAAATGACACTTTTGCTGTCAGGAGCACATCTTTTGTTATCTATGACAAAGGCCGCCCCACCAAAGTTGGCTAAATAATGAGCTTTTGAGTTATTGCAGCTTGAGCCTGCTCAGAAAATAACGTGGGCTAGGAAGGACAGTTGTTTATCTTATTTTTTTAACAGTGAGCCTGATGGAAATAACAGCACATGATTTAAGACCCAGGTTATAATGTACTTGCACAAAAGCCCCTGGCTGTGGCTGCAGGGTCACCGCATTGTGGCCTCCCTTGGGCCAGGATGGTGTCACTTCTCCTGGCCCCCTCCTGCCCCTGGCTGGGTCACCTGGGAACGGATGTCCTTGTCCTGTGCATGGAACTGGGGCTGCCCAGGCATGCAGAAACTTGGCTATGAGGAAACAGGGAGGTGTGGATAGAGGAGGAGGAGGAGGAGAGAGAAAAGGAAACAAAAAAAAAA